CCCCCCCCCCCCGCCCCCCCCCCCGAAACTTCGGTTGCCAGACTTTGAGCTTGCCTCTGCTTCGGTGGTCCTGGAGTCTTCGAGCGTCTCCATGGTGGCTTCACAGATTTAGCTTCTCAACACCTCCTTGATTAGGGAAAGGGTTTAGGGCTTAGGGTTTAGGGTTCAGCTTCTCCAAATCTCCTTGATAGGGAACTAAGCCTAAATTATATGAAGGTTCCTAATGATGATCTCAGGATTATATATTCCTGAATTGCACCTCATACCCTAAGCAATACCCGTCAGGGATGTTGAAAGCAGAGTTGAGGAGTGTTCCTGATTTACCCTAAACCCTAAACCCTAAGGCTTTGGGGAGTCCTAAACTATGCTAAGCCAAAACGATGCCGAAACGGTTGTTACAATCATCGAAGATCTTGTCTTGGGATCTCCTGAATACTGCGACCTCGAGTACTCCGGATCCACACGAGCACTTGTCTAAACTCCTAGTACCGCCGTTAATAACCCCTATAGTAGTACCCTATATAATCCCTTATGTATCCCCCTTCAAGGAGTTTAGAGTATGGCTCACATGAAGAACTTCAGGGTAAAACGGTCAACAGTTGAGCTTGGATACTTGAACATTGAGTCCAAACATGTAATATTCAATTGTTGAAGGCTCTCCGGGATCCCTGAAAGTATTACGGTGCAGTCACAAGATTTTGCAACAAGAACGCCTGCAGACCCTAAACCCTAAACCCTAAACCCACTAGGCTTAGGCTTTTTGGGTCCAAGGTCTCGGGCGACCACATTCACGGAAGGCTTTAGGGTTTAGGGTTTGAAGGCTTGCAATAATGATACCTCAGGGGCGACGTAAGGTCTGGGAGTCAGCGCGCAAGTATTCAGGTCCAGTGCATACTGTCCTCCTTTAAGCAGGACAGAAAACGGCAAACATGTTGGGATCCACAAAGCAATTGTCATCCTGCTCCATTTCTCAGCCGGTAGAAAAAGACTTCACATTTCCTTAGGCGGGCCTTGACGTTTCTTGTCTCCCAGCTTTGCAAATCAAATGGTAGTTTCCGAACATAGGGGGGCCGGCCCCAATATAGACCCTAAACCCTAAATACAATTATCCTTATTATAGGCCCCCCCCGAAACGGCTTTGGGGAAACCCTCAACCCTATATGGTAGTTCCCATCAATACGGGACCCCAATATGGACCCCAAAATGCTACAATCCCTTTTATGGGGACCCCCGAAGATGGTAACCCTAATTTTCGGAAACCCTAAGCCCTAAACCCATACGCCCATACAAGCCCTGTAAACCCCTTTAAAGGTACCCCTAAGTTTTAGAAACCCATCAATTCACAGGGCATGCCAAGAACCGCATCAGAAACAGAATTTGGAATTTCGGGTTTAGGGGTTTAGGGCTTAGGGGATTAGGGTTTCAGGGTGTTTAGGGGTTTAGGGTTTTGAGGTTTTAAGGTTTAGAGGTTTTAGGGTTTTAGGGTTTAGGGTGTTTAACAAAACCCAACCAACGTGCAAGCCCCCAACCCTAAGCCCTAAAGCCTAAACCTAGGCCTATACTTGATTTTCAGAAGATTTCATGGAGAGGTGCCAAATCTCTATAGTAAAGGGGCCTAAAATCATGGACTCGCTTACTAGCCCCCCCTATACCCCTCCCCACTCCTGTCCTTAACTGTAAAAACCAATCAAGCCTCTAACAAGCTACTAATAGTGGCCTAATAAGGAGTTAATTTGTCATTGTCAAATTAGACATCGAATAGGCCCAGAACAGTGGTGAGCTTCAAATTAGTGGTTGCTCTCACCTATTCGTAGCTTCTTCTACACATGGCAAATTAAGCCAGGAATAGCTTAGTTTGGAGTTTGGTAGACCTCCCGAATCACCCTTTCCGTACCTGGCCAGGCGACGCTCGCTAGGATCCAAGGGGCTCGAGAATGCAGAGAGGCGCCAGGGACACTACAGGGGCATAAAAGAGGCTTGCAGTTTGCAAGAACCCGATACCCATAACTCTAAAACATGATGTATCCTGAACAAGAACACACCCAACAGTGAAGAGAATCAGGCAAGTCGAAGACTTTTGCAGCAACATATCTTAAGAATTGCGCAACACACGCCTGATGGATGTTGTTGTGCCTGCGGATGCTGCTGCGCCCGCTATTGAAGTGGTGCAAGACGCACCAGAATTTGAAAATCAGTGCTGCATTCTCAGCTTCTTAGTTTTTGCTGGACTGTGCTGTGCTCATAGCCTTCCTCAAACGATTCCATCCTCCTATGGCTCCCAGGTCGCATCTTCTGCAACGGCAAAGAGCTAACCGTTTACCTGTCCTCCAGACGGCAATGCGAATGGGTTGTGCATCAGGCAAGATTGAGACTGAGCGCACCCCAACACTTTGGCGACCCCCCAAAATTTTAGCTTCTGGATATCTGCGGGAAGCAACTGTTTGTTTTGTGTGTTGTCAGGCAGTGGGCTTGTTCGTGAGCCGCACACGGACCGAAAAGATCATGGCCCGGTGTTACCGGCAGAACCTTTCAGCCATCCTGGATTGCCACCACATGCTGTGGCCAGGTGAGCCTGTGTGTCTACTGAAGCCAAAGCAGGGTGAACATGGGGAGGAAGCAGACACTCAAACAGGGCAGAAATTCTGGACTCGCGAGTGCACCATGCCCACATCGATGGTCATGGCTTATGTGCTGTTTGCTTTGGGATCCAAGAACCGCACAATCGCTAGCAAGGTGCCTACGAGTGAGGCACTGGCAGGTCTTGTGACGCTCTTTGCCTCCACCTTGGGTGGCTTCAAGCTACCCCACATGCGTTTGGGGGACGGGCAGAGCATTGTTCTAGAAGTTGACGCTGCTGGCCACATCGAAGGTTCAGAGTTTTGGACCCCGCAGTTTTACAGAAGGCTCGTGCAAGTGCACTGGCAAAGGGACGTAGCAAATGAAAAGAAGAAGTGGTTGAAATCCAGCACAGGTAATGCCAGTGTGCCGCTAGTTGAGATTTTGTGTTTCTGCTTGGATGCGCAACGGACAGCTGCGTTCCAACGAGAATCCAAACCAGATGTTCTGAGTTTGATGACACATGTCGCGCATTTGCTTGACCAAGATATTGGCAAGATTCGTGTGGACATGGAAGAGATTCCAGCTGGCCACTTCGGCAAGAACAAAAGGAGGCTGCGCATGCACAGCTCCGTCCTTGTCGAAACCTTGGCCAACAGGATATGGTCGGGAGAGGACGGGTGCTTTCTTGCTGTGCGACCATGTGCAATCATGGTAGCGAGTCTTGGCCAGGAGCGCTTCCTGTCCGCTGCAATTGCCAAACTCCCTGCACCAGATCGTGGAATTTCCAAAGTTTCTGTGCAGCTTCCATCAACTGCCCGAAGCTTACACTACTGAGCAATTTCAGTCAAACTTGGAGACGCGCGCTAATGACGACTCAGCGAGCATTTATATGGTTTCTTGTGACCCCAAGAATTTGTGCGCAGTCATAAGTTCTAAAAAACAGCTTCTCATTTGTTTGCTGAGTTGAATTAGCGCATGCACAGATGTCATGAAAACCTTGCCTGTAGAAGCTAAGTTCGTGTACTTTGCAAATTTGGCGTCCACTCTCTCAGAGTGTCATCATTTCCATGCCAGGGCCACAGTCTCGCAAATCAGTCCGGATTGAGCACGCCACCACTTGTTTTGCGCTGGCAGGTCTACATGGATGGCAGCAATGTGGGCAAGCGACCGCTAGAGCTTCTTTGGTTGTGGAGCCCAGAGAAGCAACAGGGGGGCTGGGCACCCCCATTGGTTGGGAGCTGAGAGTACGTAGCTGCGTAGCTGCAGAACTACCAAGCGCAACACAACCGGAGCCTGCTTGTGTTTGCTTCAGGAGGCTCAGAGCTTCAATGTTGGATTTGGATTTTTGCATGCCCAAGCAAAAGCCTGCTTCCCATGCATTCGCCTAAGACACACCGCTGCAGCAGAAATTTCATGAAATTTCACTTGGGCCCCACAGTTGCATAACATCATGTCTTCGTCATACGCCATGTCCGTGGAGAGTAGTGGCACCGACTCGAGCGCCCCTGTTTGGACACAGTCCTCGCAAGTGTCTGTCAGCAGCAGCCCTGCTGAGGACACCCATCACAGCCTCTGTCACGCAACCCACTTGTGTGCTTCCCCCTGATCTTGCGCAGGATATGCAAGGTGAGCAAAGGCTGCAGCAAGCAGCTAGATGCGTGCAGCTGGCTTGGAGGAAACTGACAGAGTGGTTGCCAATGTCTCTGCTGAAGGTGGGGCTAGGTTAGCTCGGTTTTGCCCATGTGTTGACGATGCTTCCACGCAGGCATCGATGTTGACAACAGTGCGGAGGACGTCTTCCTGCTGCACGGGTGCTTTTACAGGGGAAATGTCATTGGCTGTTGTGGAGCGTACAGTCAACACATGTTCCAAAACAAAGCTGGGGGTGCCAGTGAGCTATCAGCCTTTGAAAGCCCATGAAACTTGCATGTACAAGGTATTTTTTTTTGCATGTTCACTTAGATTGGCCCATGGAATTATTGTTTCCATTCCGCTGGAGTTCGCATCTAAGGAGATTGATGGCACGTGCAGACAACTGATACAAGACCATGTCCGGTGGTGCGCCAGAACAGTACAAACTTACAACCCACCGCCGTGTGTGCACGGAGATGTGACAGAGATCCTCCCTGAGGGAACTCTGTCAGGGTATGAAGACTATCCTGCGATGGTCCGCGCGGTGAACAAGTCGGCTCTGTGCCGGTATCAGTTTTGTTATACGCATAACATGGACTGTCCTGTCTTCAGCGACCCCCAACGGAATGTCGACACCGATTACGACATATCCGGGCTTCCATGCCCGGATTTTTCTAGAGCTGGTCTTCAAAGGTTCGAACACGGAGCCACATCCGTGGTGTTTGCCTGTCACGCAAAAATGCACTGTCACAAACAGACCAAAATGCTGCTGATAGAAAACGTACCAGCCACTCGTGCAGAAACCTTGTAACTGTGATTTAGTGTTTGCGTTTGCGTCTGTGAGTTTTCTTTCTTTGCAAGCGAGTGACACCAAGGAGCTACGAATGACGATGATCCGGCAGCTCTATGGTAGGTACTATGACATTGCGCAGCTCTTTGTGACTCCAGCTGACCAGGGACATGCTGGTGTGGCCCGGACCAGGACTTACCTCATCTTGACTTTGAAGGGGGTTGTTCGGCAGGCGCGAGACGTCAATGCTGTCTATCGAGAAGTGTCCAATTTCATTGCTGGCTTGGTGCAGACCCAACCTGGTGATTATTTGGTTGCCGACAGGGTTGACTTGCTGTTGGAAGCCCATAGAACCGCCGCAGCGCGCAAAGTGGAACTCCGCGATGTGACTCGGCCCCACAGCAGTGTTGGCAATTTGATGAATCACCTGCTTGCGCTTCGGCCTAGGCCTGTAAGCCCAAGTAAGTATGTACTTCACTGGCCCTTTGTCCCCACGCCCCCGCACCTCCCACGCCACTTTCAGGCAAATGCCGATGAGGACTACCAACTCGAGTACTTGCTGAATGCTCGTGAGAGAAGGGGCTTGAGGTTTGTGTGCCGGTTGTATTCCCAGAGGTTTGGAAGATGTGCCAGGCAAGACAGAAATTTATTTGTACATTTGGGGGATAACCCCCAGAAATACTTGTGTTGGAGTGCTGTCTCGAACAGCATACCAACGTTTCGTAGGGGGAGCGGACGAATGTTTCACCCGGCAACGGGGGTCTGGATGACACCTCGAGATAAGTTAGCGGCACTCGGCATGCCGGTCACCCCTGGAACATCATGTTCCATGGGGGTGCCGATACTCCCAGTTGCTGATATCTCCCGTGCCTCCAGCATCGCTGGGAACTCCTTCCACTTTGCCACTGCTGCGGTTGTGCAGCTCGTGGCATTGACATGCTACAGAGACTGCAGCATCTGACAGATTTGCCAAGACTAGACTCCCAGGATTCTTTGCGTGACCAGAGAAAGGTTGTTGAGCTTGCCGAACATGTGAATTGGCGCTACCTTTTGTTTGCAATTGAGTTGAGCAAGGTGGCGCGGCTGCTGTATTTTGCTTGGAGCCTAGCTTTGCTTACTTCCCCCCTGGTGGCCAGAACTGGTCCCTTTGCCTTGCCAGACATGGGGAGCAAGGACAAGAAGAAGGGCAAGAAGGATAAACGTGTTGCGAGCACGTCCTCGGCATCTGGAGACATCAGCGCGGCCAACCCTATGCTGAATGACAGTGAGTCTGGCGAGTCAGACATGTTCCCCGGCGGCGTCGACCTTGGTCCCGAGAGGCAGGGTAAGCCTCACACCGGCACTGCCAAGAAGGGAGCAGCCGCTAAGAAGACAGAGTCAGCAGGCACCCGCCGAAGCGACAAAGAAACGTACAAGAGCCAGCGGGTGTATAGGGATTTCGTCAATCATCACGTGTGTGTTTGGTTGGACGAAGTCGATCCCACATATCTCAACATGGATGTCTACAAGGACGAGCGCAGAGCCAAGTTGTTCTCCACCCTTGCCTTCTGTTTCGGGTGGCTTCCTGGAGACTCCAAGATTGCCACTGACAAAGCAGGCATTGTTCGCGCTGCAAGTGGCCAGTATGCTCGCAGGAACAAGCCAGCTGAGCGGACTGGGTGGGGTCCCAGTGAGATCCACTCCTACATGAAATGGCAGTTGGAGCAGTTCAGATTGGGTCGCATCAAGCGTGATGCGGTTGGTGGATTCTCGTGGTCTTTGCCGGAGAGAGATTCCAAGACAGGGGCGCCAGCACCCTTGCCCGCGGAGGTTGTGGAGTTTGCGGGCAAGGCCTCGACCAAGTCAACATCAAAGAAGAAAAAAGGCAAGAAGAGAAGCAGGTCTTCTTCTTCGTCCTCGAGTCAGGAATCCGAGAAGGAGACGGACGCTAACGAGACCGTCGCGCCCACCGACGCCTACACCCTCAAGCTTCGCGACGATGGGTCGGCCAAGCTCACCCAGCAACTTGGCTACATCATACGCATGGTGCATTAGTGCTTAGCAGCTATGGACGAGCATGCAATAACCACTACGTAACTTCGTGATTGATTATTGTTTTGCCCAGTGTCCCCGTCCCAGTCAAGTAATTAGTATTAATTGGTTTTTCAGCGTTCATCCCGTTTGATGTCAGGTGCACGAGTGGGAAGTCCGTGCGTCTCCCTATCTTGGAGGGTGGCGCCAAGTACAAGATTGTAACTGGCAGGGGTGGCTTGCGGCTGCAGCCAGGTAAATCCGATACGGCAGTTTTGTGCAACTCCTTTTTCGAGGGCGACAAGCAGCGCAAGAAGGCCAAGAAGGATCGGCCAAGCTCCAACAGTGGCGACTCAAAGAAGCAGAAGAAGCGCGGCCGATCGCGCAAAGCCAAGTCAGCGGGCAGCAACCGCCGCCGCAGCTGCGACAGTGAAGGCCAAAAGGCCACCGACTGCAAGAAGGAGAAGGACCGTGAGGGCCCTGGCGTCACAGATGCTGCCAGGAAGCCGCAGTTGCTCAGGGGGATGGGCGAGACCGAGAAGCCATCAAAGCAGCAACAGCAGTCCCGCTCGCGCTCGAGATCCAAGCAAGCAAGCAATGCCAAAGATGATGCCAAGCATGGTTCGCCTCCGAAAGGAGGGTCGAGTGACTCGGACTCCCTCTTTGGCGGGGACGAGATTCCGCGGCACATGCTTGAAGATATGCCAGTCCTGCAGCCAAGTGAGTCAGGTCTCTGGCTAGCGCAAGAGAGCACAGGAAAGATGATTCACATTCCAGGGCTCAGCGGTGACTTCATGTTGTCCAAGGACACAGCTACCGATGGCCGGCCCGAGTTTTGGGTATTGAGATGCAGGAATGGGAGGCACGAGGACCGCGCAGTGTCGAAGCTCCTGAACAACAAGAGGGCTGTGGATTACGACGCACAGGTGCTGTCTGCTGCAGCGCAGCAGAAGGAAGCTGCCATGAAGGCAGCCAAGGACAAGGAGACAGCTGCCGCTCAGAGAGCAGCAGAGGAGCAGGCTGCTCGAGACGAGGCTGCTGCCGCTGCTCAGCGGGCAGCTGAAGAGAAGAAGTTGGCGGACCAGAAGGCGGAGGAAGAGGCAGCGGCGGCTGCGAAGAAAGCAGCCGAGGAGGCGGCTGCAGAGAATGCGGCAGAGGAAGAGGCAGCGGCGGCTGCAAAGAAAGCAGCCGAGGAGGCGGCTG